CCCTTTGTCTTGTCAGTCATTAGTACTTGAGTTATACCATTTTTTAAAGTCCTGGAAAGGGGTTTGTTAGTGGAGAATGATCTGCAGAGAATTGCTAGGTCATCTGCAGCACTCCAACCAAATCTTCCTGTAAGTATATTATCCTGTGATTAATTTTGTTGTATTCTATAAAGTTGTCTGCTTCATCTTTCAGTCTGAAGATTCTTCTCATTATGGTGGTCATTATACATTTGCCCCACCATCAGATACACACACACACACACACAAACACACACACTGGATTGGCCAAAAAGTCCATCTTTTTCACCAGCAACATTATTGGGTATGTCAACTATATCCCACATGATATAATATTGATTTTTCTCAATTAATGTCTTGATTTTATCACTATCAACTTCAACAGATCTACCCAACTGTGGAGCACCATCCAGGGAGAAATCTCAAGCACGAAACTTCACAAACCACTTTTGACACATTTGATCAGTCACAGCACCTTCTCCATACACTACACAAATCTTTTTTGCATTTCAGTTGTGTTTTTACCTTTATTGAAATGATAAAAGCATAATATGCTGAAAATGTTGCTTATTTTCTTCCATCCTCAATATTAAAATGGCTACACAAAAATTCACCAATTTTCATAAGACTTTTTAAATGCACACTGATATGACAGCTGTCACAATACAATCAAACAAAATTGTTTCAAATGAAGTTAAAGACAACTAAGTGCTACTAGATCCATCTTACAGAAAAAAACAAACTTTTTAGCCAACCCAATGTTTCACAAAAATATTTTTAAAGAAACAATGGAGATACATAGCAGCCAGAAAACGAGAAGCAAAATGGCTGCAGTTGGTCCTCATGTATTAATAATCACCCTAAATGAAAATGTACTGAACCCACCAATCAAAAGAACAGGGGAGCAGAATGGATTAAAAAACAAGACCCAACTACTATGTTGCCTGCACAAGAATCATGTCAGCTCCAAAGACAAACATAGGCTCAATCAAAGTGAAGGGGTAGATGACATGCCTAGCAAATGGTACCCAGCATGTAGCAGACTAAAGAAATTTCAAGATAAAATAAGGTAACAGACAAAGGTGGACATTTTCTAATGAAAAAAAAAAAAAGGGAAAATTCCTCAAGAAAACATAAGACATCAATATATATGCACCCAACTTAGGAGTACTAAAACACTTAAAGCAAGTACTAACACACCCAAAGGAGTGAGACAGAGAAAAATACAATTATGGGACAGAATCTGAATACCCTACTCACAGCAAAAATAGAACATTGAGACAGAAAGTCTACAAGCAAATACTGGCTGTAAGTGACACACTAGAGCAAACGGACTTAATTCACACTTAAAGAACTTCCCATTCCAAAATGTCAGAATACACATTCTCCTCAAGTGTACACGGAGTATTCTCAAGGAGAGACCATATTTAGGGATACAAAACTAGTTTCAGTAAATTTAAGAGGACTGACATTATACCAAGCATATTTTCCAATCACAAAAGTATGAAACTAGAAATTCACTACAACAAGAAAGTAACAAAAACAACAAATATCTGAAGATTAAATAACATGCTACTGAACAACCACTGGGTCAAAGAAGAAATGAAAGGAGCGATCCAAACATACATAGACATAAAGGAAAATGAAAACATGACATACCAAAATTTGGGGGATACAACAAAAATGTTATTAAGCGGGAAATTGTGTTACAAACTTACCTCAAGAAACAAGAAAAAATAAACAATCTAACATTAGATCTTACATATATCAAAAAATATGAACAAGCAAAGCTCATAGTAAAAGGAAGGAAATAAAAATCAGTGAAAAAAATAACCTAACTGTCTTTTAATGGATGACTCAATAAAGAAGACATGATACACACACACACACACACACACACACACACACACACACACACACACACCTGAAATATTTCCATTTGCAACAATATGGATGGATCTTGAGAGTATCATACTAAGTGAAATAAGTCAGATGGAAAAGCATATGGCATATAAAACAAAAAACAATAAAGAAAAAAAAACAAAAAAGACAAACTCATTGATACAGACAACAAAGTGGTAGTTACCAGAAGGGAAATAGGGTGGGGGAAGAACATAGAGGGTGAAGGGGACAAAATATGGTGATGGAAGGAAGCTAGACTTTGTAGGGTGAGCACCCAATAGACTATACAGATGTTATATTATAGTTATACACCTGAAATTTACATAATGTTGTTAGTCAATGTTACACCAATAAATTCAAAGAGAAAAAGAAAACATTTAACCCAAAATAAATTCCATAAATTATAATCACTCCTTGGCTGACATTCACAAATATCTTACTCCCTGTCTTACTCAGATCTGAGATCTATCCTGCCCACACCTGCACCACAATTGCTTGAGTGAGACACTATTATATTTTAGGAAAACAACTGCAATCAAGCACCTCTCAAACAGCACCAAGTCTCAAAAGGAGCTCTCATTGCTATCAGACAATTACAATTGAAAATACAATTATGTCTCCTTGACCATTTCACACTCCCAATACCTGAAATGATTATTTCACACCTTGCTCTCCCTCCTCAGCCTCTTACCCCTTTCTCTTCCTATCTGCCTCAACTGATGACTTCGCTTCATAAGTCATTGAGTAAATACAACAAATCAGATGATATCCTCCTTATCTCCAAATCCATAAGCCTGTCTTTATCTAACTAGCCCATGCTCTAGGTGCTCCATCCTTTTAAAATAAAGGGAACATCACTGCTCCCATTCAGGTCACATAACTCCACTTTTCTCTGGACCCATCCCTTCTGCCTTTTCAAGTGTCCTCTCCTGAGTGTCCCCTCCATGCTGCTCAGTCAGCTTCTCTCTGCTGAATCATCCCCATGAATATGTGAATTCACTCAGCACCTCCCTTTCCCACAAATGCCCTTCTCACTATCACCAATTTATTTTTTAACAGCAGAACTTCTAGAAAGTACTGTCTCTATTCACTATCTTGACTCTATTAACTCTGGCTCCCATCCCCACATTTTCACTGAAGCTTCTCTTTTCAAGACCACCAGTCATCTTTATGTCACCAAATCCAATGGACATGTCTATCTTCATCCTTCACACTTACCACAGGATTTGACTCAGCTGACCACTCCCTCATGACAACATCCTCTTCCTATCCCTCTTGACCACCTTTTTTTACCTAACCTCTAACCTCCTGCTCAGAGTGTGACCTTCGGGACCAGTGGCATGAGAACATCTGGGAGTTTGTTGGGTTTGCAGACTCAGACCTCAAATCTGCTGGATCAGAATCTCCAGGTAACAGGATCACCAGGTAACTCCTGGGACATTAAAGTTACAGGATCATTGCTCTGAATGATGATATGCTCAAAGTCCCATACAGTACTCTCCTTCTAGGCGATCCCATCCAGGTCTATGGCTTTAAATGTGTTTTGTTTTTTTTTAAATCTCAAAATGTCTCTCTCTGTAGCTCCTGTTTCCCTCCTAAATTCCAGATTCATAACTCAGTAGCCTACATTACATCTCCATTTGAATGGTTCTGATAATCCAAACTTAATATGTTGAAAATAGAAAATCTTGCACACGTCACTACATAGTCCCACCAAAATAAGACAGCTAAGTTTACAGAGCCCTCAGAGTTTTACAGGTTCTATCCTAAGTGCTTAACATGTATCAGCTCCTTTAGTCCTCACCCCAGTACCAAGAGATAGATACCATCACTGTCCCCATTTTATAGAAGAGTAATTGAGACAGAATAAGTTGCCCACAATCATACATCTCTTAAGTACTACAGCCAGGATTTAAACTTAGGTCATCTGACCCAAGAACATGGTCTTATTATTCCTCTCAATCTCATCTGCCCATAGCTCAAAGCAGAAATCTACAAGTCATCATGTATTTCTTCATCACCCACTTGCAATCCTGTACTTCTCTCCATTTCCACAGCCACCACCCTTGACCTGCCATTATTTTTCTCTTGTGTTCATTAACCTCCTAATTGATCTCCTTCCTTTTACTCTGCCTGGTCTTCCCTCACAGTAGTGAGTTTTCTAAAGTAAGAATTGATCTCACTACCTTGTTGAAACCCCTTCGTGGGCTGCCATATGCTGGACCATAGCCAAAGGAACACTTTCTGACCTAGGCCCCATCTTCTCCAGCCCACACCCCACAGTAGTCTTGGCCTCCTAATTCATGGGACATGTCAAATATATGTCCCACCCCCTCAGGCCCTTTGCTCTTGCTATTCCCTTGGGTCAAAACCATCTTCTTCTCTCCCAGATCCCTCATCCTGCAGGTCTCCATTGTCATGTCGCCTCTTCCCAACCACTCTACCTAAAGGATCACTGTCCTAAAGGATTACTGTCATTGCACTATTTCCTCTGTAAAACTTACCACATCTGAACCTGAGAGAAAATAGAAAGGTAGTAGTGAAGCTCTGGGGCACATCCCTTGTCCATCTGAGTTGACATCCTGGCTCTATTCTCTCCTCCTCTCATAAGAAGGGATATGTTTAACAGTCCCTACTTCCTGTGGCTTATAATGAAGTACAACAATGCTTAGCACTCACTACTTGCTGTTGAAGTGTTTGCTCTCCTTATGATGTGTACTTGAGGGCAATGATTTTGCCTCTAGATTGTCTCTATATTCCCAGTAGAACACCCAGCTTATAAAAGTTTGTCAAATGAACACTGTTCCTTTCCATTGTTCTCTTCATATAAGTGACAATATCTACCATTTCCCAATGGTATATTGATGTTTTTATCTTGGAGTCACCAATTAGTGTGACTTCATGGTCTATTTTACATGCATTTATTTCATTCTAGTCACATGGTACAATTGTTATACAACCTATAAAAAGTACAAAAGCTTAATTCATTTTCCAGAACAGGGTCAGAGCTAAGGTGCAGAAAAGATCAGTACAGTAAGTAATGAAAAGAGCTGCAATGACCTGTACAAATCATACTGTTATCACATGATGTATTTAAAGCTATAAATATTGCCACAGGAGAATCTCTTGTCTTTGCAGCGGCCACATAGTTCCTGTCGATGAGGCCTCCTTAGGTCAATATGTCTTTTTTTTCGAGGACAGGAACAACGGGACTTTGAACAGGTCTTTAGAAAACAAGGAACGGTTTGGACACATGATCAAATTAGTGTTTGAAATGTAATCCTCAAATCAAAATATTTCTCTCCACCACCCCCTCCCTGGTATCTTTATCTTCTTGTGAATCCTAGGAGAAGTCCAAGACCAAGTTGTACAAAACCACTCAAATCCCATAAAATACTATTAAAAGCCATTTCTCAAGAAAAATGATCAAAGATGATCTTTGGAATATCACTGAGCCAGTCAAGACAATCTAATGTAACAGAAATGTTTTCCAAGTTAAGAGTTTTGTAGAGTGTGTTCACTATGCAGGTGTTCACATTTACAGCCAGGTGGGAATGAGGGCAGCGGGTGATTATTAAATGATTTGATTATCTAGATTGGAACATTTAAAAACACCAGTGCAGTAATTCTCAATGAGTGGTATCTTACCCACCAGCAAACATTTGGCAATGCCTGGAGATATTTCTGCTTGTCACAGCTAGGAGGGAGGAGTGTTCTAGAAGACGCTAAGTATTTTTACTTTCTGAATATGCCTGCTCTTTACTAGAATTTAAAGTGTTTTTAACTATTATCCCATTCTACCTTCTGACAAATAAAATTACATCCTATGGAGATTGGTATACTGCCCTGGTCCACCCTCCCAACCCTGCTAAGCTTTAAAATTGATAATCACTGCTCTATTTTCTGCATATGCCCATAGCCAAAAAGAGTAAGTCAAGCTTTCTCTCTTATATTATGAAAATAGGCATTTTCATTTTCCAAACAAGAGTCTTAAATGTGATTTATCAAACATTATACTACATTTATATGTGCCACTCTCCTATTGATAAGTATGGGTCCTTATAAGAAAATTCTGTTAGGTAACACTCACGTGGCACTTACTATAGACACTGTCTTAGCATAGATTAATTCATTTAATTCTCACAATACCCTTGCAAGGAAGGAAAGTCCTAAAAAAATAAATCAGGACTTACTCTAAAGGTAGGTTGTTGTTTATGGCAATGGAGGATTAGATAGTTTTAACCAAGCCTCCTGCTTAGGACAATTGGAAAAGTTGAGGTAAAAAAAAAAAAAAAAAAAGATGATTTTTTAAAAGAATTATTTAAAGGCACTAGGGAATTATCCAAGCATTTGAGAAGGAAACCCAGAAACAGAGATTGAGCCTGACATTTGGGGTTATTTTCTTAAGGCATCTGACAATTCTGGAATAGGTGAAAAATAGTAGAAATCTGAAAATGAGTTAAACACAGGGATAATCTTAAATATGCCAAAATGGAACAGTCTTGGTGAACAATTCGAGTTTTGTGTTGGGATCCTGAAAGGCTATACCTAAGAATAAGGATGAGCCAAAACTTGACCAGCCTCCAGGGATGCTAAATCCTGGTTTAGAAATAGATCCACCCCAACAGAAAAATAGTAAGCTGATATTGTCACTGTCCCCATCTGCCCCACAGAAGCAAATAAATCTTCTGTGGAAGAAGATATTATCCTAGGCCTCAATTATCACTGAAATTTTTCATATAAAATATCTAGCACTCACTTAAAAATAACTAACTACATGAAGAAACAGAATAGTATACTTGAAAACCAAAGAAAATAGAGGAGAACAGGACCATCAGGAACGGAGTTATCTGATACAGATTTTAAGATAATTATGCTTAATATGTGTAAAGAAATGAGACTGGTATTTTCAGCAGAGAACTGGAAGTCTTTTTTTTTTAAAGGCATAAAAATTCTAATACTGAAAAATGCCAAACCTTGACACATAATAAAAGCTTAATAAAGGTTATCTACTAAATTATATTACATCCAAGCTATACAAAGGGTGTTTGAGGAAAAACATACAACCCCATACATAAACACACCTCCTAAGGCAACTTAAGACTAAATCTTTCTCCCATCCCCCCAAGACCCAGAATTTATGCTTTTTTTCAAAAATATTATAAAAATTCAAACACATGGAAAACCTAACATCCCTACAAAAGCATCCATTTCTATCAAACGCAAACATTATGCCACAAAAGCTTCATGTTAAAAAGGGAAATAGTATAGACACAAGGGAGTGTTCGGTATGCTTACCTGACACTGGATTGCTTCTACCCGATAAGGGTTAAAACTCTTGTAGCATTTGCAACAGTGTTGTTTGAAATAAACCTAAAGAGAAATTTGTCTTTTTTAAATCCCAGTTTATATGTACCCTAGGCTCCCAGTTTTTAATTTAATAACCCATTCCTTTCTCTTGTACTTTGTTTTGCTCAACCTCTACCCTAAGATCTTCAGCTCCTCTGGTGCTCAGTCACTTTTTCTTACTCTTTGAACCTCATTTTCCTTACCTGTAAAATCGATGTCCTGCTCTTACTTTTCCTGTGATTCTGACAACTACCCAATAATATACATAAAGTACCGTAGTAAAAGTCTTCAATGGGGAAGTAGCTACTGCAATTTCACTCACTGTGCAGCTGAACCCTCGACCTTTTCCTTTTGCCCCAGTCCACTAGCCCCTTCTTTCTTATTTTTCTCCCCAGTATTTCCATACCTGAACTTTGAATTTCTTGTGTTACCCACCAATATATGTGGTTCCCAGGCTTTGTGTATTCCTTTGTGCACACTGCCCCCCTACCTTACTTGATCTCCTATTTATCCTTTAAAATCCTACTTGGGCATTGTAATGCCTTCCCCTGACAAGGCCAGTCATTCCCTCCTGTGCTATTTCTGTACCACGTCCATGCCACTGTATTGTCACCAATGCACACTGTGTCTGTGTCATTCCTACTGGTATAAATGCCTTGAGGATGAGTTCTACATCTTATACTTTATACCCTAGTGTATTGGAGTGTTTAAGTTCAATCCACTGTCTTTCTTCCAGCAAGAAAATTAAAGTCATTTTTGTTTAGGGAAAGGATCTATTCTCCTCAAGGCCTAGTGAGTGGCTAATGTGAAAAGTCATGTTTCCATTCAGGTTTTGGCATGTCCCTCTCCCTCTCTACAGTTCTTTAGCCAGAATAGCACAGGGGACTCCAACTCAAATGCTTGTAGAAGTTAATGAGATACACCAGGTGTAGACTGTTAGAAAATGAAGGGCACGTACCCAGAGAAGAGAGAGAAGCTGCTTAGCACCAGCCTACTGTTCTCGTACTGAGATGGAAATACATGATTTCCAGAGTCTGATTATTCAGGAACATCTGGAAACACCAACTGTGAAATCTCCCCCGAATGCGAGTATGCTGACAACCAACCAAAGTAAGGGGGGAACCTGCTTAGCCTAAAGAAGTCTCTCACAGGCTAAGCTTTACAGTAAATTCTTTCTCTTATTGTCCCACTTTATGGACCAACAGTAGAAAGTTCCTAGTTCTAATGCCCAAACCTGTTCAAAATACACCAACTAAAAAATGATTCTAGAAAGTCCCAGTGTACACAAGAAGAGTTCATGTAAATAATCTGAAATTTTGTCCAACAGAACTACCAAACCCAATAGACACCAAGGCATGTGTCAGCAGTCCAGGAGGTCATGTGGACTGACCAGTTCAGTTCTGTTCAATTCATTTTTTAAAAATATTTTATTTATTTCTAGAGAGAGGGGAAAGGAGGGAGAGAAGAGAGTAACATTGATTGGCTGTCTCTCACATAAACCCTACCGGGGACCCGACCCACAACCCAGGCATGTGTACTGACCGGGAATCAAACTAGCAACCTTTTGGTCTCTGGGACAATGCCCAACCCACTGAGCCACACCAGTCAGGGCTCAATTCATTTCTAACACCTATTATGTACCTGGCATGGAAGATGTTGAGATGAATTAGACAGCATTAAGTCACGCTCCATTAGGAAACACATCCTTCCTCCACTTAACATCTTTGCCTGCTATGTCCCACTAACTTTTACTCACCTTACTGGTTCCAGAAATGCACCATACATAAGCACTCTCCCACCTGGTCTTACAATCTTTACAATGAAAATAGCCATATTTTCGTTCCAAAAACTGCAAATAAAAGGGGAAGAGTCTTTTATTATCCTGGGGAGGAAGGAGCCAGATCCTTCTTTGCTCGTGGCTCTGTATAGGAAATACAAAAAGCCTCCTTAACCTCATTCTCAGCTGTTCTCAAAGTTACTACATTAACTTAGTGGCTCATCTCTGAAGGATAAATCTGGGATTCTTCTCCCTGCTCTCTCCCATTTTTTCATATGCACAATGCCACCAGTGCAGTCTCCCCAGAGCAAAATTCTGATCATGTATTTCACTGACTTAAAGCTCTTCTTTGTCTCACATCCCCAGTCCATAATGATTGCCAGACTTTTGGTTTCCACATGCTTAAAGCTGGCAGCCTCCTTCCCCAAAGTGTTATAAAGCGTGGAGGCCATGTAAAATACACATTTTCAGAACTTCATCTCATCAGATAAAGGGAGAAAGGGAAGATTTTGCTCTTATTGCCCCAGAAATGGAAGAGGACAGAGAGGAAGGCGCTAGCAGAAGTCTGAGGAGGGGAAGGCAAAGTTCACCTGGAAGTTGGGTTTCCTGAGTGAGTGGGCATCTCCTTGGGCCTGCTTACTCTGTCTTTCCCCAGGACTCAAGTTATCTTCTTTCCTCAGCTTGTCCTGCTGCCAGAGTTCCTCCTCCTTGTCCTCTTGCAACCTTAGCCTTGGTGGTGACTTCTGCTGTTGATGGCTGGCCTCCACGGAACCTGAAAGCTCCTGCCTCTCCTCATCCTTCCCATCCGTCTGCAGCCGGACCAAGTGTCTGAGGCCCATCACTGGTGAATAGAGGTCCCAGGCTGGCGATGGTGCCTTGGGGACCTTCTGGCCCCAAGGAGAGCAGCTGCGCAGAGTTAGCGGGCCCATCGAGCACTGCAGGGACCTGTCCACCCGCAGGCTCACTTGTATGCCCACCTCCTTGGTACTGGCCTTGCATAGCCCCAGGCTCAGGCTGGGATTCATCTGGGAGAGAATGACCTTAAGCTGCTCCCTCTTGTAAGGGTCCATGCAGTAGGCCCAAGCATTCGTGGGCACCACCAGCCCGGTCCTGGCCAGGAAAGTGGGGGCACCAGCGTTTTGCCTCCAGTAGTGCAGCTGGTCAGAGAGTCCAGGCTGGCCTAAAGCCAAGTGTGTTCCCTGGTACAGGCCCTGGGGAACATGGACAAAGTGCTCCATCTGCTGGCCAGGCTTAGCGCAACATCTTGGTGCAGTTCGTATCCTGGTTCTGCCTTCCACCTTCACCCACCCCTTCTTTCTCCTGGTCAAGCTGGTTCAGGTTCACCCCTATCTTTTCCACTTATTTCAGATTCTGATGGGAGCTGCTGCCTATCACCCTAATTGAAGGGGGTGTTGGGAGGAGAGGTTCCTACCTACAGAGGCCTAATTGCCACCTGATTAAAATTGTTCTTCCCTGCGTTTTCAATTCACTGTTCTCAAATCTTCAAAGCTGTTTTTCATTGCTGACTTATTCACATGCTTGCTATAGTTAGCCATTCATTTATTTATTCACGTAATAACGTACCATTTTAGAGATCCTGTTCTAAAGCATATAGTAAAACAAATACAAGAAGGAAAGTATTTGAGCATCCTTACACGAGAAGAGTGTAAGGAAGAAAGTACATTATTATGGCAGGGCTAATGAAAATAAAGATGAGAGGAACAAGGAGCATAAAGTTATGGGGAGGAGGGGGTGTATATAGTGAGAGATAATATATTTCAGAGGTTATATAACATGCCACAGGTTCTCTGTCCACCCCTAGTGAGCCCCCCCAAAAAAGGTGGGGGAAGCAAATTTTTCTGATTTAGAGGGTAAATGCAGATTTAATAGCAGGATAGTTAATTACGTGAGATCAAACCCATTTGAACTGAAACCTAGACCTTGTTACCAGGCGTTACTTTACTGGTTCCCCGTCTGACAGTACTAACCAATTTATGGGATGATTGTTAAGGCTAAATGTGTTATTTCTTGTGAAGCACAAAACAGACTAACTCGCATGTTCAGTAAGCGGCAGTTACTGTTACAGAAGGATCCCAGGCCTGTGTTCCTTTGTTATTCAGGCCCAGGTGACCATAAACATTGGCATCTCTCTGTATTGGTCAGGCTTCCTGCTGCAGCTGAGGGTTGTAATCAAACTAAATGACACCTGAGGATCCAAATAGACTTCACACCTTTTCTTTTTTTATTTATTGATTTTTAAAGAGAGAGAGGAAGGAGAAGAGAGAGTAAAAAACATCAATTTGTTCCATTTATTTACTCATTCATTTGTTGATTTTTGTATGTGTCCTTACCAGGGATTGAACTTGCAACCTTGACATATCAGGACAACGCTCTAGGTTGAGTCCCCAATCAGGGCCAGCAATGTTTTAAAGCACTGAACTTTCAGCAAATGTGAATAATAAAAGTTACTTTGTAGCAGAATTGTTGGGGGGTATGGTCTCAGTATTCCTTGCGCTCTTAAAAAGTGATCCAAGACCTCAGAGGGCTCTTTTTATATAGTTCATCATATTAGAACTTAAAACTAAGAACTTTTAAAAATATTTAATGATTCACTTTAAAATAAAAATAAACCCAATGCATATTAACATGAATAACTTTTTTTTGAAAAATAACTATTTTCAAAGAAAGAGGTGCATTGTTTCACAGTTTTGCCATTCCCTTTAATATCTGGCTTTATAGAAGATGTCTGGATTCTCATATCTGTTCCTGTGTCTAGTGTGTTGCAATATATTGCTCTTGCAGAGTTTTGTGAAGAAAACCCAGCCATACACAGCAATGTAGTTGAGTAAAAAAGGAGTATTTTAATAGTCTTGAGTTAATTGCGAGTATTTGTTTTCCATGCTACACCAAAACTTAAGTGGCAGTTACTGAAAAGTTGCAATGTGGAATCTGAACTATGTCATGAACTGTTCATAACTTTTGTTACATTAAATTCTACTAGTCTTTCTTGAACCTCGAATACTTCTTTTGTCCATATTGTAAAATCAGACACAACAGTATTTGGAAAGTGCCCTTGTTCTGAATTATACAGATATTCCATATATTGACACATTGCATTAAATAATATTTTTAAAATCACATTCATCACTTCACTCATGTCAGGAAAGATTTTTAAGATGGGGAGGATGTAGAGTTTAACAAAATTCTAATTCTCATTGGAAAGCTCACATTGTATCAGGGGCAACAAATAGCTGTTGTTTTCCTTCAGTGACAGGTTCACATCATACATTTTAGAAAAATGCCTCACAAATCACCCAACTCAGAATGACTTAGTTTGTCATTCGTTCTAGTAAAAATGGCTTCCTATAAAGAAAATTCTAATTCAGCTCATAATTCATCATATGAGTGATTTTCTAAACAACTATTGTATTCAAACATACAGAAATGCTTTGTGCATACTTTTCGTTTTGTCAGGGAAAATATTTAAAAGATACACTGAAGGGTTGGGATTTAATAACACCAATATTTACTGCTTCGTAAAGGACATTTTAAGTTAATGGCTACTGTTTTTGCTTTTTTACAAGTGCATGGTGATGAAGAATACACTGACTACTAGGACAATTGATGTCACTGCACTGGCTCTTGTCCAGTGCCCTGAGTCAAAGCTTTTCTCCTTTTATTAAATCCTCATTTTGTCTTCTTTGCTTTCTCTTCAAGATAAAGAGTTCCTGTTTTCTCCTAATGATTCTGCATCTGACATTGCAAAGCACATATATGACAATGGGCCAGTGGGTGAGTGATGTTTTCCTCTTCAGAATGAATAATGTTAATTTTCCCCTCTCTCCTTACTGTCACTTTGTTTTCTCTTTCAACGTTGCTGGTTATATTTTTCTTGCATTTTGTTATGTTGATCAGGTTTCACTTATAGGTGAGGTCATATGGTAATGAGACTGGAGGAGAGGGAAGGGGTTACCTGGGAAAGGAAGGGGAAGGGTCGTCGAAGAACATGTATAAAGGACCCATGGACAAAGCCAAAATGGGGAAGGATGGGGGGGTGGGCAGGGGAAAGTGGTGGCGAAAAAATGGAGACAAATGTATTTGAACAATAAAGATAAATAAAAAAATAATGTAAATTCTCCATGCCTTTACCTGATGTCACAAACCATTTTTTTAAAACTTTTTGAAAAAGTTTTAAATATATAATATATAAAAGAACAAACCATTAATTGAGGGTATAAGGCTCAAAGTTAAAGGGGACACTGTATGACCTTCCCTATTTTGCTCTTCAGCTACCTCCCTGCGAAATGGTAAAGGAGTCACTATGCCAAGTACCTGTTTTGACTTAGAACTGCTTGATGTAAATAAAATTATTTTTTTAAAAGTAGAACACAATGAAGCTAACATGCACACACTTTCACTTTAGAAAACCTAAACAAATTAAAAGGAAAGAAAAACTAACTTAAACAAACTATAATATATTCTCTTTGATCTGTTCTATGTATAAAATTGAGTTTGACACAAAGTGAATTTCTAGTTCATGTCACTTCATGTGCTCTCTGAACTACTACAAGTCAAGAAGATACAAAACCCATTTGCGCTTTGCATTTCTAATCCAGTGTCCATGACACCAAAAATTTGGAGGGGGGAGTGTATGTCATTCCTCCCTTCACCTGGTTCTTCCCTGTGTGAGAAGACTCTGTCTTGCCATCATAAAGTGAGTCTTTAGCCTGTGTTCTTCCTTTGAACTTTCCCCACATCATCTTGACTCTTTAATGTAGGTACCATAGTGATATGGCTGTTTTAGCTGATGTCACTTAATTGTACTGGCCAGGGCAATTTGGACTTTATTTTTTTTAACTGTTGACACTATTACAGATATCCCTATTTTCCCCTCCCATTTACCTACCGCCCCCGCGCCCCCCTCCCTGCTTTCAACTTGGACATTTAAAGGACAAGACTTGTTTCAACAAAGAACACTATGTGTACAAAACAAATCAATTTCATCAGTGCCTCTCAACCTTAAATAACATACAGAACTCTTTTAGAGAAAGAAAATTCTTGTAGATTTGCCAGCGCTGACTTAAATTATTTTTTAACTTATTAAACATTTTTATTGTTGACACTTCAACAGGTGTCCCCATTCCCCCTCTCCCTTTTGCCCACCCCCTTCCAGCCCCTGCTCCCCCTTCCCTCTGGCCATCACCACACTGTTGTCTGTGTTCATGTTCTTTGCATGTTCTTCAGCTAATCCCCTCCCCTTCTTTCACCCAGTCCCCCCTCCTCCCTCCCCTCTGAAAGCTGTCTGTCTGTTCCATGTACCCATGCCTCCGTTCCTATTTTGTTTGTCAGTTTATTTTGTTCATTACTTTCCACATATAAGTGAGATCATATGGTATTTGTCTTTCTCTCACTGGGTTATTCCACTTAGCATAATAATCTCCAGATCCATGCATGCTGTGGTAAAAGCTAAGATTTCCTTCTTTTTTACAGCCCAGTTAAAACTCTATCCTTATTAACTCATATACAACCATAAAACTAAAACAGATCTACAAGGACAAGGCACACATAACTCTAAAGTCGAAAATGTGAAAATTAACAACCTTACTGTGCCCGGTGATGTATTTTTATTAAAAACAGTGTACAGCTTGCACTGTTGAGTTGGCATGCATCTGTGCTCTTGCTTGCTGTATGAGGACCCAGTCACCACAAAACCGTCATTCACACAGTGTGCCAAGTTGTCATTCAGCCCTCCCTCAGCAAGAATGAATCGTTTATGTATTGAGTCCACCTCCGTTCTTTCCTTGTTAGCCTCTTGACAATTTAAGAAGTCCTGCTTGGCGCCAGTTCAATCATAAACTTAAACGCATACGTGGGCATTAAAACCCCAATGTTGTACTTGGTCATAAGGTGATTATTCAAATTGTCTAGACAATCTCTTCTAGATTATCATTAAAATGAAAACACAATTTAAAAATTCTTGGAGAGGACTTTCAGACCCTAAGAACATGCCTTTGTGGATTCATAGATCTGAGTTTAAGAAACACTGATTGAGACAATTACTTTCAAATAACTAGATCTCTCTTCCCACTGGTAACCAAGGGACAAGTCAATGTTAGTCCTAAAAATTATAGTTAAAAAGAAATTTCAGAAAAGCTGAACTGGGCTGAACTTGGGGGTCTTGCAATATTGGAATTTCTTCACAGTCAAAGAGGACAGATAGCTGTCACTATGAAAAGCA